TCAAGGAAGAGCTGAGATTGGACTGGAATCTGGAGGAGAAGGAGAGGCAATGATGACATGTGGGGGCAGCACTGGAGGCAAAGGGCAGAGCAAATGGCAAAGGCTGTCAATGGGGAACACGCTTCGTATGTTCTGGAACTGGAAAAAATTGAGTGCTAAAAGGATACAGAAAGCTGGTAGGATATGTGAGTAAGCCAAATGTGTGTGTGAGTGTATACAGAGGTGCCCAAAGCATTTATAGGAGAAAAGAGAAATATACCATCAGGTTTTAAATCATTTCCTGAAAGTGCTATCTAAATGGAGGAGTCAGGGAATCAAAGGTGTTTCTTAGATCCTCAACAAAATAGCAAGCTCTCTGAGGGCAGGGAATCTCCTCTAGCCTGTCATTCTTGTTTCCGCCTCCCAGCATAATGCCAGGCCCTTGATAAGTGGTTGGTGAATTAATGCAGGAAGGAACGAATGAAAGCCCAAGATGTCACTTGTTAATGTTCTCTATCTTTAGTCTGTCTCTCTGTCTTATTTGGCATTGCATCTGCATCCAAATATAATTGTATAAAATAGAAGGAAAATGCTGAAAGTGCAAGAAAACCATCTTGAAGGCCTTTGACAATGCTAAGAACCAAGGGGAAACGAGAGTAGGGAAATTGGCAAGAGCACCCTGATATATTTACATATTGTCCGTGTTTCAGAGTGGAAACGCTGATTTTATGGCCCTATAATTTGGAGGCTAATGCACGTTCCACTTCTTGGAAAAGAGTCTCCACCTTAGGAAATGAAGAGCTTTCATAGTTTTTGATCAGAGGGGTCTTCCTAAAAATGCAAGATACGCTTGTTTAAAGAGAAAAATGCTTTCCATCAACTCCTGGATGTTACAATATTTTAAATTTCAAATTGCTTTGTAAATCAAAGATCAGCCCATTTCTTTTAATAGTAAGCTCTCAGAAAAATCTTGGGTGTTAATCAACTTAATGTAGCCATGCTTATGTCCATCATTGATCTATGTTTATTTTAATAAATCTTACTACATGTAGTGCGCAACCGGGAGGTAATATAACCTGGACAAAGACATTTATCTTGTGTAGAAACCACCAAATGGGAATTGTAATTCACATGTAAAATTTTATTTTATTTAAAAAATGTCAGTTGTCATGAGATTGCCTCTATTTCTGGAAAGGTCTTGGAACATTTTGAAACAATTTTTCTGTCTGACTCAATCCGTGATCCAGTGACAGAATTCAAATTGCATCTGTTATCTGCTTGGATACACCTGTTTTAATGACTACTTTTCTAAAAAAAAAACATGTACTGTCAGAATGATAGGGAAACAAATAACGGAGGTTTTGAAAATATTGTATGAGCATACATAACATGCATAACTCTCGGATGACAGGCCAATTGTTCATGGCATTTATATGCTCTTTACATAATCAGGGCTTCTATGAAGCTAAGCAGGATTTTCTGTGCCTGACATTTGGATGAACGTTTGGTGGGGGGAAAGCACACCTTTCGCTAAGTTTCGGTAAGACACATTTACAGACAATGCTTTGTAGATAAACTTCCAAGAAATTTGATCTCGAGTTTGCCTGCTGTGCCTGGAGCTGGGACATGGTTGGGTTTGCAAGATGAAACAAACGAATGCTTATCAGTTCCCAAGCCAAGGTTTTAGTTAATATGCTGTTGTGCCTTCCCACCCCCACCCGCTGCCCCAACTGCAGTTAAAGTTCAACTATTTGGGCTGTGAGTGCACCACAGCGAGACTACGATTGATACCATCAGGTACCTGAACTGCTTTGCTATTGGGTTGGGCAGCCAGGCAAGAAGAAAACGGTGCCAACGCTTGTTATATATCCCTGTCTCTAAGGATGAATCTGGGAGGCCCACACCATTTAGCCAAGGAGACCAATTCTTTTGTTGTTTACTTTTTATGGAATCAGGATGGCATGAATCAAAGCGAGCCCATTGGACCTTCTACTAAGGGTCCCTCGCTATTAAGAGGACCTAGTCTTAGTGTCTCCCAGTAGAGTCTATTAGTCTATTATAGCTCATTTGACCTTTAGAGACCTTCTCTACTGGGTGGCTGATGGTTATTGCTCTGCCAAGAAGGATTTAGTCTATTTGTTGTTGTATATTGCCAGTAAGCACCCGTAATTTCAGCGGCTCCATCCTGCTGAAGTGGTCTTTGTAAGAATATACATTCAATCAGCCCAGCTCTCTTAGTTGAGACTTGGAGCTGACAAAGGCCACCATTAATTGTGTTGCCTGCCTGTTGAGTGTATGCCCACTGTGAGTGACATATGGATAAATCAGCAAGCCAACCATGAGTCCGAATAGCTTAGGAAATATTCATCAGAACACCTTTCCCCTCTGGCTTCTGCAATAAGGGGCAGGCTTTCTGAGGAGTGGAACAATAGCTAGTGTGGATCGAGGCTCCAGTGGATTACAACACCAACTGGGAGATTTGTATATGAAATACGTGGCCAAAATTAGGGACAACTGCATTGCTCACTAGAGTGATCATTAGATTTGCTGACATAAAGTTATGTTTACACATTCAGGCCAAGATAACCCCGTTGCCAGTATTAATAGTTTAAAAAAATGCAAGTGTTCCTAGGAAAGTATGCTTTTATTTTTTGATCTAAACATCAGCATGTAATGGAGTTATAATCTCTGCAGTAGCATCATGTCCCTCTCTCCATCTAGCCTCTGACTTCTCTGTTTACCCAGAAAATAATCCGTGCATTTGTGCTAGTACGTTGCACAGTCTCAGTTAGGGACATGGTAGGTGTTTAAAAATAATTTTGTGCCATGAATGAATGTTCTCCTGCAGGTAAGGCATCTCCAGGACAACGGAGAGATATTTTTTAGCCAGGGACGTTGAGTAGTAGAGTCAGGCATTGCATACACTCTCTTTCTTAGTAGTCTTTACCACTCAATCCTCTGAATCACTTGACATCTGCATTCTGAATCACTGGCTTTCTCTACCATTCCCAAATAAACAAGCATTTGTGAATTCCTGGTCTTATCCCAGTGTCTGTGTGGGTTTCGTATTTTACTCGTGTTCTCAGGTTCTGTGTTCTATCCTATGTGGAGTAACTTGACCACCCTGTGCGGTCATAGCTGGATTCCTCACCTGTCTTCCCTTTGGACTCCGTAGGCAGGGGTCTGGATTTCTTCTCTATCCACAGTGTCTAACTTTGTGTGTGACTCACTGTGGGGTGTGTGTTGATGTTGATAGGATAAATGAATGAGCGAATCAATAATAGGGATGAATGAAATGAATAGGTTAGGCCATCTTTAGGTGCTTGTTTTCAGATGTTGGCTAGAAGAGTGAGAGCCTGTGACACAAGGCACAAGGTTGTTGTAATTAGCCTGTTATTAAGATCTGTCATCTGGCCTTCCCTGCTATTGATGTGTGGTGCCTTGCTAATGTACTTGCTTATTGCCAAGTAAAGAGCTTAAAAATAAAATGAAAAAATGACCCTTATATAGACATAGCACTAAAAATTAGATATCTGGTTGTATAAGTTTCCAAAAGCCTATAGGCATTGAGCTTGAAATTAATTAGATCAAACCTTTTAAAATGCAGTTTGGTAGGAAGACCTGGGGGAGATAATAGATCAACCGAAGGACTTGTATACATGCATATAAGTACAACCAATGGACATAAAACTCTGGGGAGAGAGAGTATTTATGAGAGGGAGGGAGGGAGGAAGGGGGGCAAAAAAAAAATAAATAAAAAATAAAAAAATAAAATGCGGTTTGGGTTAGATAATACATTTGATGAAATGAGTTTCAGAATAAATAAATGTATAACTTTAAAACAATGAGTGATTTAAATTTTATGTTAAGTAAAAATAATACACGTGGTATTAAATGAAAAACAGCACCAAGAGTATAATACAGCATACCCAGTTTTTCCCAGAGACAACTCTTAATATTTATATAGTTACCACAGAAATCTAGGTACTGTACTCATACCTCTATTCTATGATAAATCAACTTTAAATGATATGTATTGACACCTACCTACACTCCTCCCTCTATTCCTCTCAATATTTTATAATAAAGTTATATTTTTAGTTCTTCTGTTGGTCAGCACTGTACTCTTTAATAATTTATTTGAGTTTCCTTTTTTTTAAAAAAAATCATATAATTTCTGTTGTGTCTCTTGATGCCTCATGTTGTAAGTTGAGGATGCTGGTGTCTTTACTACATTTCTTTCTTCCTGTTTCTTGTCTTACCTTCTCCAGTTCCTCTTTCATGTTCTCACTTCTATAATAGTATTTACATTTTGATTTAAAAGGAAAATTGAAAACTGAAGACATTAAGGGACTTGCCTGAGGTCTCTTAGCTGGTTAGAGCTGGGACTTAAATTTGGGGCGTTGACTCCCAACTTAGTGTATTTTTACAGATAAGCTCATCAAATGTTTATTGACTGCCCATTCTCCTCCATGCATTATATTAGGTACCAGTAAAACAAAAATAATAAGAAATGGTCTCAAATCTTATACTTAATAGTCAAGTAGAAAGGTTAGATAGTATGTAAACAAATAACTGTTTCAGAATAATAATGCTCCAGGGAAGCTGTTATTTAGTTTGGGTTGTGTGTTTTTTTATTCCATTGATCATACATTAAGAGAAATTGATATAACTACTAGAAGCCATAGTTTTAACATGCTAAGGAAGTAATGTCTTACCCAGCTAATGTATGCACGTTGAAAAATAAGAAAGATTTTGCTGATATACTCTAAGAAAAGTAATCTTAATGGTCTGTTTTAAATTAACTAGGAAAGCAAAAATTTTTATATACTTATAAATTATGCAGTCTATCATGTTTTATATGCTCAACATGTTCTTATGTCAGACTGTCCAACTATTCTTCAGTTATCCTTACATATGCATTTAGTATTTTGATTTCCAATCTAAGACTTACATGTTTTTTAATAGACCTTTCTTTTGGTGATTTATGAACTTTTTTTCTTTCTTTCTTTCTCCCTTAGATCTTCATCACTGTGAATTGCCTGAGTACAGATTTCTCATCCCAAAAAGGGGTGAAAGGACTTCCTTTGATGATTCAGATTGATACATACAGTTATAATAATCGTAGTAATAAACCCATTCATAGAGCTTATTGCCAGATCAAGGTCTTCTGCGACAAAGTGAGTAAAGATGACAGTTTGTCATAAAGGTATCTTTGTTATTAGATATTATTTTCAATGACATTTCCCCTTGTCACCTTCTCTTGTCTAGTGGTGTCAGAATAATCACCTTATCAATCTCAATGGGAGTGGTTATCTTTCATTCTCAATTCCTATTAGATATCTAGGGAGTCATCAATCAACTCTATTTTTAGTCATTTTTACCACTAATTTAATGACTAATTGACACTATTGTGCTGAGTCTGGTTCACTTAGATAAGTGAAATCATAGCTTAGTAGTTTTTACTGGATGTAGATCCTGTCCCACAACATATCAATGTAACCTTTGTTATTCTTTGGGGTTAGTGGGGTCTCATTGAGAGGTTTTTGGAATGGAGATGGCTCCTATAAAATAAGTGTGAATTGCCTATGTCATGACCCTTGTCCATTTTTCCTTGTTATGTTGGTTTATTTTTATTTTTATTTGAATCATTGTAGATTAAAGATTCAACACTTTTATTGCAAGTATTTTCATCAGTTTGTCCCTTGGCTTTGAAATAATATATTTTTGCATAATAGTAGGATAATTTTAATACTACCAAATCTATCTTTTGGGTGTGTTGATTTGGGGGTCAGTTTCTAAAAGGTTAGAGGATAGCGGCCAGTTCATGTTTCAGTGCTCCTTAAACATGCTGCCACATAGGGCAAGGAGTGTAAATGAGAATCTGAAATGTAGTTTGTTATGAGGATGTCTATCTGGTTCTCATCTGTTTTAAAGTATCTTAGAAACGTGAGTGCAGATGAATTCTTCTGCATCAAGAATGGAGAGAGAGAGAAGGGAAAAGGAAACTGTGTTGAAATATCTGTATTTGGGGTTGAGAAGTGGAAACTGAGTTAGCAAAGTTGACATAGAAAATTGAAAGAGAGGAGAGGATAATCAGGAAATCCTCAAAAGCCAAGAAGGAAAGAGATAGATGCTGATTTGGAAGAGAAGCCAATGAAAAAATCAGGTTACAAGGAACAGAGGAACAAAAGGAAGAGAATAAACCTTAAAAAATTGATCGGAGAAAGAGAAACATTGGTATGAGAGAGAAACATTGGCTGTCCAGACTGGGGATCAAACCTACCACCTTTTGGAGTATAAGATGATGCTCCAGTCAACTGAGCCACACCAGCCAGGCCTAGACCAGACTTTTTTCTATTTGGTTGAATGAGCACCATCTCCAAGGCCATATGAACATAACAAAACAAAACAGAAAGTCACAGTGTATGTACAAAGTAATCTTATAGCCTGTCTAGTTTCTTTATGTCCTCCCTCATTTTCATTACTATATGATTAGAAAAGTTCCATCACAGCAAGCAAAGAGAAGATTTTATAGGGAGTTCACACTCAACTTTAATGCCCTTTCAGTGTCTATGAATGATGCTAATGGGCCATAGGACATTTATTATAATCAGTAAGTTATTTAAGTGGCTTCACTGTGACAGGGACCTGGGTCTGGTTTTTCTGTAGGGATTCAAAGCTGAACTTGTGTAGCTAGTCAAGATAGCAAAAAAGGGAGAAATCTAGTAGAAGTGAGATCCCTCAGCCTTCAGAACTGAGCCTGACCTCACTAAGGGGATGGAAATGGGACTGCCCGCTCTCCTCCTTCCCTTTTTTTGTCTCTCGTCTGTGTGATTTGCATGCAGCAGTGTTTTTGTGTGCTTTGATAACATGCCTGGCATTGTCTGTATTTGTTTTCCCCTCTCAGGGAGCAGAAAGAAAAATCCGAGATGAAGAGAGGAAGCAGAACAGGAAGAAGGGGAAAGGCCAGGCCTCCCAAACCCAGTGCAACAATTGTGAGTGTCACTCAGAAGGGATGGGCTCCTTGGGTCCACTAGGGAGCAGGCAGGAAGAAGTGGGTTGCAGGAGGAACTACAGACATGCAAGGCATTACTTGCTGTTCCCTAGAGTCAATTGTCCCTGTGAAAAGCAAATAGAATCAATGATCACAGAGTGTTTGCTCGAGGACAGACTTTGTAATATGATTGAGACCAACTCTTGCCATTTACAGACAAGAAATCTAGGACACAGAGAGGGATGGGAAGCTGGGTGAAAAGGTGAATGGATTAAATAAACAAGCAAACAAATAAAAAACTTACAGACACAGACAACAGAATGGTGATTACTAGAGGGAAAAGGGGGAAGGAGTTAAAAGAGGATAGAGGAGTGATAAATGGTGATGGAAGGAGACTTGACGTTGAGTGGTGAACACAGAATACAATATACAGGTGGTGCATTATAGAATTGTACACTTGAAACCTATATAATTTTATTAACCTGTGTCAGCCCAATAAAGTCAGTAACATTTTTAAGAAAGAAACCTAGGACACATAGAGGGACGGGGGGCATGAGAGAACAGCAGTCCACCTCAGGAGTGCTCACTCACTCGAAGTTTGAGCTTTTTCTGTTGGCTTGGCAGTGGGAATGGATGGTCATCTATGGCATTTGGAAAACTTCGTAGGAGAAAGTCATGAAATGTAGCTAAGACTAGAGCTTACATTTGAGAGTTCTTAGTCATGCGTAACCCTCTGAATTTTGATTGTTTTTTAATCATATCCAGCCTCTGATGGAAAGTTGGCAGCCATACCTTTACAAAAGAAGAGTGACATCACCTACTTCAAAACTATGCCTGATCTACACTCACAGCCGGTCCTCTTCATCCCCGATGTTCACTTTGCAAACCTGCAGAGGACAGGACAGGTATGATCCACCTGATAACGTCTACATGCCATCCATCCGTGGGCCTGGTAGAGCCTTAAGGCTCTCAGATAGCATCATTTCAGACAGCGTTGCCCTTAAAAATAAAACAGACACTGGGCAATCAGTCAATCCCCCCGGAAAATGGATTTTCATACAAAGGAATGTCTCAAGGGAGGAAACCAACTTACTACGGAGAAGAAGAGAATGGGCTGATAGTAGTGAAGTGTTGACAAAGAACCAAAAGGAAGAAAGTTAGAAGGCTGATAACCTGTAAGAAGTTTTATTAGTTTCCGCACATGGGATTGGCATTGATGCAATAGAGCCCCACCTAATGGCGGGAAGTTGAACTGTACCTATAACTTCACATTGCAAAATTCTGCATTTAAACAAAGCCCTATCAGCAATTTTCCCCTTAGTAAATTAACAGTTTCCATTAAATAGCTAAATCATTTTACACCCATAGAAAAATGACATTGTAGACAAGCCTTTTAAAAAAACAATTCCTGTCTTCTAAGTATATCTACAAGTGAAATGAAAGAACTAATATTAAAATAACATAAACATCTAATAACTCAGTATGGTAGTTCAAGCCGATGGAATATTATGTGGTCACTAAAGTTATGGTGATAGAAACTATGTAGCAAAATGGGGACTAGTTATGATAATGAAAAAAAAGTAGAATACCGTTTGTTCTTTATAGTGATTCCAAATATATATATCTGAACTTAAAGGGAACAAGGACAGTTAAAACACTTGATGGTAGAGTTATGATATATGGCTGATTTTTCTTTCTGTAATATCTCTACCACTAATTATTTTATGTGATAAATTAAAGAATGTGGGAAGAAAAGAGCATGGACTGGAGAGTGGGGCTTTCACCATCAGCCCACCCGTACCCTCCTCCCCGTGCCCCCAATTCACACGTGGGGTGGAATGTTTACCAGATTACCAAAAGCTCGCATGAGGGAAGGGACCCACCGTGTAAGCACTATGGAGATCTATACTATGGAGATCACCAGTCTCCCTCTCCTCACGTTGGTGCTGATAATTCACTGCAGCTTGGGTCTGGAAGGCCTTTAAAAACAAATGATGAGTGAGCTCGGGAGAAAGTGCGGCTGCAGGGCCATCACCTTCCTGCATGACGTATGCTCTGCAGGTATCAGCCTTCCGTAAAGCACTAGACCCCAAGGAGGGCACGGCGCCTCCCTCCCTCCCCAGTGGTGGTTGGTAAGCAGTCCCCCCCCAAACCACAGAAGCTTCAGGTTCCTAAGTTCCCCTCTAGGTCTTTTCAGTTAAACTCTCTGAAGGGGTTCCAGGAATTGGTGTTTATGACAAGGTCTCCAGGTGATTTTTTTATGCACTTTAAAGTTTGAGAAACACCATAAAAATTAAATGAGTGGAATAAATCCTACAAAGGACAAGGGAGAAACAGTGGGTCATTAGGCAAGAGGGGAAATGACAATGGCAGGTTGGTGACAGGGACAGGGTAGCAGAAGCCATTCAGGAGGCCAAACGTAAGGGAAGGCTGCTCCATCATTGAGTCACCACCCAGCTGTGCAAAGATCTGTCCATTATCCATGTAGCCAGGCAGGGCGGATGCTGCATGCCACATTGTGTCAGCAAATGTGACCTGTGCCAGCAAAACACAGGTCAACATCAAGAACTTTTTACAAAAAATCCAGTTGGGTGGCCAGTGCTAGGAAGATCTTGGCTTCATCGTTTTTCTGTTTAAGAAGAAACAGAGGACGAAACCGGTTTGGCTCAGTGGATAGAGCATCAGCCTGTGGACTCAAGGGTCTCAGGTTCGATTCCGGTCAAGGGCATGTACCTTGGTTGCGGGGTGTGTACAAGAGGCAGCTGATCGATGATTCTCTCTCATCGATGTTTCTAACTATTTATCCCTCTCTCTTCCTCTCTGTAAAAAAATCAATAAAATATATTTTAAAAGAAAGAAAGAAACAGAGTTATATAATACAACAACGGGCATAAGACAGTTAAAAGGGGAAAGTTCCTCGTGGAAATCTGAGCTAATGACTAGATGACTCATTCCCGAAGAGTTCCAGGTAACCAGCTCTGTTATGCAACTATACCGGGGTGTGGCAGGATCCCAGGAACTGCCCGGAAAGTGTGTAGGAAGGGTGTCCATCCAGGCACAGCTGTTTCTCTCCCTGGCATTTGGGGCAGGGACAGTGACAAAATGTACTAGCTCTAGGGGCGACTTTTGTAATTAACACGTGTGTCTGATTCTAACTTAGGTATTGTTCCTCACCCAAGCAAAAATGGTCTTAAAACACACAGATAAAGCTCAGGAAAGGTCCACAATGAATTTGTATAAGTTACTGGGTCAAAGGAACCTATGTACATCTCAGATCCCCTCTGGAGTTTCCCTGCTGCTTCATAAAATGAGAAGGATGCTTCATAATCACTTTAATTCTGATTCTGCTTACCGCCATGCTGACCAACTAAATTAGTCTTTTCTTTTTCTTTTTTAAATAGATTTTTTTTTTTTATTGATTTCAGAGAGGAAGGGAGAAAGAAAGAGAGCTAGAAACACCAATGATGAGAGAGAGTCATTGATCAGCTGCCTCCTGCATGCCCCCTATTGGGGATGGAGCCTCCAACTTGGGCATGTGCCCTTGACTGGAGTCGAACCCAGGACTCTTCAGTCTGCAGGCCTATGTTCTATCCACTGAACTAAACCGGCTAGGGCATGAGTCTTTTCTTGAAGCTCTCTCTCTGGCCAGACATGCTTTTAAGAGCTAAGTGACCTTTTCCAGCTTTAAGACAGTTGACTCCTAAATTTCTGTGGTTGGAGGATGCCAGGGAACTTGGGCCCTTGAGAGAAGCACACAGAGGCCTGCGTTAATGCCCCACTGCCACGGGACCCTCTTGCTCCGGTCCCGGCACATAAGCACAGTGTCCAGGTCAGCTCACCCGTGGGTCAGTGGGATTGCTTACTCAGGGTCCTGCCCTGGAGCCCTTCTAAACAATGCTTCTTAGCTTCTGCTAAAATATTTCCTTATTGTCAAAAGCAATAGGGCGATAGGTAATCTGATCAGACTGTCTTAGCTGGAAATAATCACATTTCCAATTTTACCTCATTGAAGTATAAGAATTGACCTTATGGAGAACATGAGGTTAAATGTGTATTTCCTTTGACACACACACATGTATAGCATCTTTACACAGATTTGTCTTTTTTTACGAGACGGTGTAATGCCTTAGGAAAGTCTGTGCATTGCATAATATGTTTCCACTTCTGACTGACCTACAGTAAGCCTATTGTTTTGTTCCGCAGGTGTATTATAACACGGATGATGAGCGAGAAGGGTAAGACACTCAGCTCTTTCACTTAAACACCCAAAGTCGGTTCATTTCAGTAGGCTGTCCTCTGACCTCCAAGCTCAGAGCTGAGAAATGCTTGCTTCCGGGCACCGAGAGGAAGACTGGGCGAATACCATTTCCTTCCAAATCTCTCCCTCTTTCTCCTTCCTCTGGCCTGCCTATGAACAACCAGTTATTTTTTTACACGACGCACCTCCTCAATACCACCTTTCTACCGATAATCCAGTTACTGAAATAATATTTTGGGGAAGAACAAGCTAAGTTGAGGCAAGTGTCAAGGAGATAGCCTGCCTGCTTTCGGTGTTACCTGGGCCGCCTGGCGTACCTCCGGAAGCCCTCACGCTGGGGAGTGAGCCGGGTGGGCTAGTGGTGTGGCTGGTGGGGGTGGGAGCTGGGAAGGCTGAGAGCCTTTTCACGGTCCTTAGGATTATAGGGTCACCCAAGACTCTCAATTTGTTTGTTGCACATCAAGACTGCCCACTGCTTGCTATCCACAACTCACTGTATAGACTCCTAGGATTTTAGAGCTAAAAAGGATCCTTCAAGGTCATTTAGCCAACCCTCTCTCCTAGGCATGTGATCTCTTATACCACATCCTCGAGAAATTATGGAAATATTCTGAATGTTCTCACCGTGTGTGAGGTAGTCCATTACTGTTGGGTGACTCCATCTCTCAGAAAGGTAGTTTGTGGAACTGGGGTCTATCTTCTTTTGACTACTACTCATTGGCTCTAGTTCTTCGTATGATCTGGATGGTATTTTTCTCTTAAAAACATCTTACCACTACATTCATTTTTTAGTATCTACGTTACACTACATATGTGTACCTAAGATCTTGGTTTGCACTACACGGATATAACTAAAAATCTCTAGACCACTTATTTTCAAATTGCATTCAAACCAGGGCTTCCGTATTCTTAATATCATGAACGTATTTACTTCTGAAGCATTTCAAGGTGAAGTAAGTATAGTAGATACTGCTGAACTCACTTTCCAGAGCAGAGCTGAGTAAACTACAGCCTGAGGACCCACCACTTGCTGCTGTATTGTCCACAAACTCTTGAAAATTCTATGGAATTCAAGTGTCCATACATAAAATTTCACTAGAACACAGCCATGTTAATTCCTTTATGTCTTGTCTATGGCCGCATTGGTGGGACCACAGCTGAGCTCAGTGGTTGCAGCAAAGGCTGTGGAGCCTAGAAAGCCCAAGTGCTGGCTAGTCTGCCCTTCACAGAAAAAGGGTGCCACCTTCTGTCCTAAAGGATAGAGACTCTCAGAGGAGTCAAACACTTCCCCAGCTGGTTAAAAACAGAACCTTGTCTAGAATCTGACCTCTAAACTCTTGAGTTCTAAATTTTCTAAATGCTTAATTAATTGTTCTTTTTATCTTGGCACATGGATAATTTCCAGAGGCTGGAATGAACAGAAGTGATTAGCGCTATCAATTCTAATCTGTTATTCACATATTTTACAAGGGACAGTGTGGCGTCATGGAAAGAACGTTGAGTCTGCGCTCCCAGACTGCAGCTCACTAATGGGAAGCCGGGGACTGGCTCCTTGACCTCTGAGTTTTGGGTCCTTCAATTGTAAATGAAGGTTTTGTAGAATACGATGATCTCGAAGATCCCATCTAGACTAACTTCTGTTATTTTCCTGGGAAACCTTAGCATGAATGAGAAACGCCCAATGTGAATGATGCTCCATGTGCAGGCCTCACTTAACCTATCTTAGCCTCAATGGTCCTTCCTTGCAAGTTGGCAGCATTTAGGTGACCAGTGGTCCTAACTCTTTTGGCTTAGCCTTTGTAAGAATTACCCTCTGTTACAATCTTAACGCCCAAGGCCCAAGTCCCTTTTACATGCCTTCGAACTAGAGGTCATTTGAGCAATTTGGGAAGCCTCAGTGATCATCTATAGCAGGGTCTTGGCTCTTGTTATATGTAAAAGGAATAGCATTCGTTGGCTGTCTTGGCTAGACACTGTACAAAGTGCTTTATATCTATTATTTCATTGACTTCTCCCAAAATTCCCATGTGTTTTACTATATACACTGAGTGGTCAGATTATTATGATCTCTGAACGCATAATAATTTGGCCACTCAGTGTATATCCTATAAAATAAAAGGCTAATATGCAAATTGTTTCCTTGACCAGGAGTTCAACTAGCAGGCAGGCTGGCCAACTGCCCATGTCCTGGCTGGCTGGACCCCAGCCATGCACAAATTCATGCACCAGGCCTCTAAAACACACACACACACACACACACACACACACACACACTCTGAGTGGCCAGATTATCATAATAATCTAGCCATTTAGTGTATACGTAAGGTGATTATAAATATAGGGCAGTTTTCCAAAGAGAAGATGAAAACAAAAATAGGTAAATCTTTGTGAACATAATAAAAAATGTCAATGATCTACTGATACTTGCTTTGTTAATTTAATTACACATACATTTAAAGAATAATATTATATGACTTAGAAATACCTGTCATTTTATGAAACACTTCTATTTAGATTATTCACAGTTCATCTTTGACAGTGTCTTTCTTATCACTGTAGTTACTTTTGTCATATCTGTTTATTAGGACAATTCTTCATTACCATCAAAGTTGAGATATAGCACTTTTTAAATCCATATGCATGAGATTATCACCAGAAATTTTATTCCAAGCCACAAATACCGATTCTCATAATATTAGAATAATTACATAAGTGAGCCACAATGTTGCCTCCATTTTAAACTTGTGGGTTTTTAAATATATATAAATATAAATAAATATAAATATAAATATAAATATATACTATTTATTTATTTATTTTTTATTTCAGAAAGCAAGGGAGAGGGAGAGAGAGATAGAAACATCAATCATTGATCAATTGCCTCCTGCATACCCCACACTGGGGATCTAGCCCACAACCTGAGCGTGTGCCCTGACTGGGAATTGAACCAAGACCTCCTGGTTCATAGCTCAATGCTCAACCACTGAGCCATGCTGGCTGGGCTTAAAATTGTGTTTTTCATTAAACTTTATCCCCAGAGCCACACAACCCAATTTGTCTTCACACAACTCTAGTCTGTTCTCCCCTGCCCTCTGCCAGACTGGCCCTGAATGAGGTTTTATGCACTGGTCCTTTAAGAGGGCCCTTGGTTTCTAGCAGACTCCTATCTCTCCCTGGGAAACAGAATTTCCACTGTTTTTATTTTATTTTATTTTATTTATTTTTTTATTTTATATAGCCATATGTTATGTGGGCTCCTCTTCCCTGCTCTGGTGCTCTGGGCTGGGGAGCCCCGTATGGGGTTCAAACCTCATCCTCAGGCTGAGATATCCCTCCTGATTCTCAGCTGAAGCACGTGGGTGTGGGGTCAGCCCTTTTCACATCCCTTTACTTCCTACCAGTCTCCATGTGGCTTCTTCTGGGAATCCTTGGTTATTATACTCGATTGTATAAATGCTCTTTGCATTTGTCAAATGGGGCAGTCCCATCTGCCCCTCCTTTCTTGCCTTGTTTTTTGAAAATAAATGTAACAGTTGAATTCAGACCACACAAACTTATTGACTCCCTATTGGGTTTGTAGATTTGAACATGTGAAAGAAAGCATTTTTTAACTTTCAGGAGAAAGGTGGTTTATCCAAGATGTTATTTTAATGGCAAAGTTTGTCATGGCTCAGAATGGGGCATGATCTAAACTCAGCAGAACTGGAAAAATACAAATAACTATTACTTGTCAAGGAAAAGAAAATCACTGGCTTAGGAACCTTCGCACAGCATAACAGAGCGGCATTTCACAGTCTGGTGACACAGGCTATTGACCCATTATTCCCCTCCTGGTCACCGACAGCTGTGCAATCAGATTTTTTAACCTTCAGCTCCTGAAGTCATGGCCATCCAATTCCAAAACATGACAGAATAACATGACCTACTTTTGTGAAAAGGTTAGTGAGGGGAAGACTGAGGAAACACTGCTCTAAAAACTCATTACCACCTTTACCTGGGACTTACTTGGGTTTGAGATTTCCTTCTGGCTATTTCCATAGTTTGACTTAGTGGGGATAACAGTAAGAGAATGCTGACTCTTCATATCATTTCTTACACCCTCACTCATCATTTCGGGTTTCCTGAGTATCTTTAGCATGAGGTTGTCCCTCCAAGTTGGGTTCTCTGAACAGCGCTTTTCACATATCAGCGACATCACCCTGCGTAAGACATGCATTAGTTTGATGGTCACTGAAATAGGGATGAGCTTGGTGCTTGCCCTGGCTGGCTCACAAGGTCCATGGCATCAGTACCTTCCCTTCAGGCAGCCTATTTTTCCTATTTGCATTCCTCCCGGACAGTCCTCCCCTTCCTTAGAGTGCCCAGAAAGAGCGGGAACTTTGGCAGGAAATGCAGAGCTATCAGACCTGGCCCAGTTGGGGACTTGCTGGGCCACCACACCACGAGCTTTCAGGAAGGGGGACGGAAACCCTCTCTCAAGGGGGAGGAAGAGCTGGGCACCCCAGGTCTGGGTCTCCAGGGAACTTCCATCGCTGCAGGCTTATCTGCTCCAACCAGATGGAGGCACAGAGCAGCAGGAAGTGAGGGCAGCCTTATAACTGAGAACCAGTGAGGTGGGCCTGCACCATTTCCACAGGCCCCCTGTGCCCGCAAGGGGCTGGCAGAACAGTGCAGGACCCCCAGGCCCTAGCTAGTTCAAAGAGGGCTTGTGTAACTTGGAGGCCACACAGACACCAGGGCTCACTCCTGCTCCTCCCCAGCCCTGATCTGAGCAGGGAAACCCAGAGGTCTCACCTTTGTAGATCCATATTCAACAATGAGAAATATGTCTCTGGACCATGTCCTAAAAATAGTGGGGGGCGCATTCTACCTCTCACAGGAATGACTTGGGACCTGCAGGGGGAAGAAGGAGGTTGTGGAGAACTAGGGATGGTATAAACAAAGGGGAAAGATAGGGACTTTCTGTCTTTGTGTTAGTGCCCTGTCTGCTTTACTGAATACTCCCTGATCATCTTTTCTAGCAGCAGTGTCCTTGTTAAACGGATGTTCAGGCCCATGGAAGAGGACTTTGGCCCAACACCTTCCAAGCAGATAAAGGAAGAAGGGATGAAGCGAGGTATCTCTCCCCTTGGGGCCCTCCACTGGCGTTGCTGAAAGTGGGAGGGGGTGGTGGACCAAGAACACACAGCCCCGTCCACACCCCTATGGTTCAGGGCGGGCCTGGGGATTGTTATGCTTGTTATTGACACAGGAAGTTCATGGTCCTCTTTGCTTTAAAGCCTGTCTTTGGAAGCATGGAAAGCACATGTGTATTCTTTCTGGGCACCGGTTCTTGCCTTTGCCTCGGGAGAAATGCAATGAACATACTGACTCGCCACGCGGTGAGATATAAGATTAAAAAGAAACCCTTGCTGTGTGTGTGACAACAGCGTAGGCACCAGCCCTGAGAACTGTTCAGTGGGTGCACGATTAATCTCACACAAGGAGCTGAGCCTGTTTTCTGGGACATCACCATTTACTCATTTCCTCTCAGTCAAGGGTCTTATTCTACTTCACCAAGAAAGTAAGGAATGAAGCACAAGCTTGTCAGTGTCTCGCTCAGCATTTGATGCTGTTCACGACTCACTGTCCTTCCTCAGAATAAGAAGAAAGTGTGTGGGTTGGGGTTGGGGGAGGGGGGGGAATTAGGGAAGGGGACAGTCACCCCATGACTGTCCTAATTGTAGCTAATTCCATTAGCTTCCAAAGACTTTCAATTTTCTAGTGTGTCAGATTGCCATGTTAAATATATCTGCACTCACCATCCACAAAGGATTGGGGTGTTTTGTGTTTTTAAAAATATATATTTTATTGCTTTTTTACAGAGAGGAAGGGAGAGGGATAGAGAGCTAGAAACATCAATAAGAGAGAAACATCAATCAGCTGCCTCCTGCACACCTCCCACTGGGGATGTGCCCGCAACCAAGGTACATGCCTTTGACTGGAATCGAACCTGGGACCTTTAAGTCCACAGGCCAACGCTCTATCCACTGAGCCAAACCAGTTTTGGCAGGCCTGAGTATTTTGTTGAGAAATTGTATCTCCCTCCCCCGATGTGTTGAAAAGGAGCTAACACAGTGATCAAGAGCAGACCTGTAGCCTCCGCAGCCCGGTAGTTGTATGACCTTGGAAAGGTCATCCTCATCTGTAAAATGGGGATGACAAGAGCACCTGCTTCACAGAGTTGCTGTGAGGACCGGTGTGTGGATGAATGTACATGAAACACTGAAGTGCCTGATCCACTGGTGATCCACTGGGTCTACTTAAGCTATCTTATCATCATTGAGAATAAGTACTTAGCATTTCAAATGAAAGATCTTACATGTCTGGATGGTGTTAGTCACATTAGCAACCTTTAAGCCTGTAAAAGATTTTCTGACATCACAGGCTCACCATCAACTGTTTGAGTGCACGTTGAGCTCCAACCTGCCTGCCTTTTTATCTCGTACTCTAGAATGAGGGCAGAGCTGTATGGAAATCAAAGAATCACACGGGCAACATTAACCTGGCTTGCATCCATATTTAGTATCTGCTGGCTAGTCCAAAGAAGAGCTTCTCAGATTATGTTGAGATTTTGAAGTCAGGACCAACATTGTGTTGGGCTATGATGAAAAGCAAAAATCTGGCCTCTGAAACATTATCATAGGGACACATGGGGGCGCTGCAACCTACCAGCCGTGGAGAAAGTGTGCTCCAGGAGCAGCTCTCCTTTGGAAAAGGATGCTGGTACCACTGAGCCCTCGCCCAGAGCTCCCAGCCTGAGCCTCTCTGACCACCACAGGGAATCAGCGTCAGTGCCACTTCCTTTGTTGATTTTGTTGGAAGTTCTCCGGGAGAGAAAAGGAGCATGCTTACCACCAATGCCACTTTTTGTTGTTCTGCCTTTCTGGCCACTTCTCAGGGTGGCTGTGTTGGAGCCCTTGGGGGCTGCCCCTGTGGCCGCTGCCTTTGCCGGTATCTGGGATGGGTGATGGTTGCGATTGCCTCGGCAGCAGGGGTTCTCAGAGTGCTTTGCCGGGGACACACAGCTCAGGAGAGCCAGCTCCCTGGGCACCGTGGGGTGTGCTGAGCCTGGCACTGCTCTCGGAGGGCATCCCGTAGTCGGTCAACATGCCCCATACCACCTTTCACCCTTCCCCAAGCCATCTTATTTCCAGGACAATAATTGTAGGAGATTTGTAAACCTGTTTGAATAGAACATGGTTTGGGATTTCCTGAGGCTCAGACTGGAAATTACATTTTCCTGCCAGAGGCTGTGGGAAGAAGCTACGGGAGATTCATCTGGAACAGGCACTAGTGAGAGCTTTTATTGTTTCTGTTTTGTTTTATTTCGTTAGTTGTTTTTTTCTTTAATTGTTCTCATCTAGTGGTCTAATTATTTTCTTTAATTGTCCTCATCTTGTGATTCCGTGGTCTAATTGTCCCTGGTTGTACTGCTGACGCTGGGTCCTCTTATGCCACTAGGCCACTAGATCATTTTATTTATTTTTAATTATTTGTTTTCTTTTATTAAGATATTACATATGTGTCCTTATCCCCCTATTGTCCCCCCCCCCCCACCTCTCTACTCTTGCCCTCACCCTCCTGGTGTCTTTGTCCATTGGTTAGGCTTATATGCATGTATGCAAGTCCCTTGGTTGATATCCCCCCCCCCCACCTTCCCTCTGAGGTTTGATGGTCTGCCACTAGATCATTTTAGCTGAAATAGAGGCTATAAGATATTCCTTCCAAAGGACGGAATTGGGAAGTCTCTGGAGGCATATTCACTCTGTATGTTTACTTGTCACTTTGTTTTTATACTGGGCAAAAACAAGAAGCTGCAGGACTTCAGGTGGTTTGTTCTGTTCTGTTTTCTTCCTACACAACTGACCTCTAGTTACGGCTGTCTAGTTGTCTGCCTCTCAGGAATGCCTGCCTTCCTAAGTGGACCGCGAGCTTAAGGGCAGGCTGCGTCTCGTCTCCGCTCATTGCTGCGACCTCAGCTCCTCGCACCCGGCCTGGGGCCTAGGAGCCCAGGTGGGACTTCAGGAATAGTTGTTGAATGATCAAGCACATACACAGAAGACAGAGGTCTCAGGTCTAGAAAGATCATGCACGCACCCATGAGAAACTCACCTGTGAGCAGTGTGTGAAACAGCTGGGTGTCGGTACCCAATTGTCAGTTGGTGCCCAAATGCCATCGCGTTGCTCCTTCTCAGTCCCTGGCCGCAGGTTGCCTAGGGAAGTGCCTCCTCACCGTGTAGGATGTCATTGGCACTGAGGCACCAGGATTTATTCGTGGATAACATCAGTGTCCCAGGCCTGTGTGACAGGAAGCAGTCTCCTGTGGCGGCTGCGGGGATTGTGTGGGCTCCTCGTTAACCCTTTCCCCCCCTGCTCTTCCAGTGCTTTTGTACGTGAGGAAGGAGACGGACGACGTGTTCGATGCCTTGATGTTGAAATCTCCCACCGTGAAGGGCCTCATGGAAGCGGTAAGCCATGAACCCCTCTTCTAGGAAAGCTGCTTGTGTTCTCCTGAGCTGGCATCCCTTCATTAAGATGCAGCCTTTGAGACTTTTATGCATGTTATTTATCTATGACTTTAATGGACTCTACTTTGAACATGGCTTATAACTCCCTCTTAAAGTTTTCCCCTATACAACTGTGCTGTAGATTATTAGGTTTTTATTTATTTATTGTGTTGTGTGTGTGTGTGTTTTATAGTGATGGAGACAACAGGACTTCCAAGGGACAGCTACATTGGAAACAGCATTTTGGGTTATGAGGCAAAATGGTAAAATGTATAGGATCGTGCCTACTTGTTTATAATTCATGGTCTTTTGTGGCTGTTGTGGCTGTTTATTTCAGCCACATTTCAGCATGTGTTGAGGTTTCTCCTTGTTGTAGTATAATCGGGATTTCTGTTGTCAGAGAACTGGGTTGTTGGGATTTCTCTGTGCCTAGGGGGAATGGGGTTCTTACAATATATTTTTTATTATTATTAAATATATAGGTGAATTTTTAAAAATATATTTTATTGATTTTTTTTTTTTTACAGAGAGGAAGGTAGAGGGATAGGGAGTTAGAAACATCGATGAGAGAGAAACATCGATCAGCTGCTTCCTGCACACCCCTTACTGGGGATGTGCCCGAAACCAAGGTATATGCCCTTGATTGGAATCAAACCTGGGACCTTTCAGTCCACTGGCCGATGTTACAATATCTTTAGTAAAGGAATTTTCTGAAATTCTCACAGGAGAAAGAGTCATTTTTATTGGCGTAGAATTATATTTCTCGGGTTGCAAAGTCCCATATCCCTTAATCCAGTCCTGAGAAAAGTGTAGCTGGGGTTCCAGCAGGGCCAATGTGCAGAGTTCCCATTTCGTGGCTGGGTCCATTGTGGCCTCAGGCTGATCACAGTCCATTATCCATTACCTCCCAAGAGAGCAAGAGACTAAGAATTCACGATTGTAAGAGAGAGCACTTCCTTTGTTCAGGAGTTAAGGATCTCAGATTTTGTGCTCTTCCAGGGGCCACTCCTATTCTGGCCACTGACTCACTCCCAGGTGTGGCTGACAGATAAGCATCTTCCCACGTCGCCCAGACCTTCCTGGGCATCTTTCTTTTGCCCATCCCTTCCCCCCAGTGAGCTGTGGGCAACAGACTTGAAAGTGTTAACTGCAGCTTTCTGGCAAAGCTGTATAAATGACGTGCCTATGTATGTAGTCTTCCCTTTACTCCTGTTATTCAATAACCAGGTTAATTCTGATGCTATCACTTAATTCCTTTTTATGGTTGAATAGTATTTCCATTGTTTGAACATTTTGGTGTTCCAGTGATCAGTTGGTAGACATTGGATACTTTACCATCTGGCTATTGTGAATAGTACCGCTATCGACATTCATGTACAAGCCTTCGAGCACTTGTTTTCAGTTCTTTGTCCACCAAGGAGCGGAATTGCTAGCCAGACCAAAAAGGTCACATATTATATGATTCAATTTATAGGAAATGCCAAGAATAGGCAAATCCTTAGAAATAGAAAGCAGGTTAGTGGTTGCCGGAAGCTGAGGAAGGAGTAACAGGACGAGACTATTGAATGAGTTTCCTTTTGGGGTGATGGGATGTTTTGGAACTAGGAAGTCCTGAGGGTTGCACAGCATTGTGAATGTACTAAATGCCACTGAAATAAATGTACACTTTAAAATGGCTAAAATGGCAAACTAAATAGAGAGGGGTATCACCAGTAGAGAGTTTGCACTTCCCCTGAAGTTGGCTTTGTTAGCAGTCCAATCCCCAGGCATTTCTGAGCAGGGACCACCCTCTAGGAAACACTGATGGAGGGCTTGTTAGTGTTTTCTTCATGTTTCTGCAAAGGAACAGAGTTCACTGCTATTGAATCTGCTGAACCTGAAGGAAACTAAATGGAAATAAATACAGCAAAAACATGATCTACATCTCTCAAATGAACCAGGATTTTAAAAATATATCGTCCATTCTTTCAAGGTGGCCACTTAATGAATTGGTGGGTCCTTGAAATGTTTTCTATATACTTACACATATTATTTTTAAAAATACAAATGGCATTACACTATATATAGACTGTTCTGCAAATTGTTTTTCCTCCCATAGTATGTTTATATATATAGATATATATAGATATATATAGATATATATAGATATATAGATATATATAGATAGATATATATAGATTTTTTTTTTCCCTGCAAATTACTATTTTGTGTTTTTTACCTTTTCCCTTGAATTGTCAGATGTTTTTTGTTTTGATTTTCAGGGATTTTTTCTAACTTAAGGAAATTAGTTCCATGTCTGTCATTCGTGCTGCCAAAATGTTTACCAGTGTACTCTTTGGCCTCAGCTTTCTATGGCTGCTTTTGCTATATCAGTACTTTTAAATGTATGTTGTTTTTATCAACCTTTGATCTTTTTTTCTTCAGGTTTCATATCTTGCTTGGAAAGATCTTCCTTACTTGAAGATGATATCCATACAAATAATTGACCCACTGGTTTCTTTTTGTATGTCTTCATCTTCTTGTATGCTTTCTTGTACAGAAACCTTTGATTGGATTATTTTGGTATAGGTCTGGAGAAGGCATCCAGTTTAGCTTGTTAATTTTTTTTCTATATGGCCATTTACTTAGTTCACATCATAATAAGGGCCCACCTTTCCTGACTGATCTGGAATGACACCTTTATCATAGATTATGTTCCCATGAGGCTGAAAATGTTGGTGAATGATGGAAGGTTTGTCCAAAGGGAGAAGAAGGCCTTGCAAATGAGGTATTTTGAGAGTCTGACTCGTGAGTGAAGGACACTGGCTCCCAGAGAATTAAGTCAGAACTCCTCCTGTGCTTCTGCTTGGACTCCCTGCTGTGCTCACCTGCCTTTTTGTTGTTGGTGTTACAGATATCTGAGAAATATGGGCTGCCCGTAGAGAAGATAACGAAGCTTTACAAGAAAAGCAAAAAAGGGTAAGAAAAAAATTGAACTTAAATTAACTTTCAAATCAGATAAGTCAACATAGTGCCTTAAAAAAAAAAAAAAAAAAGATGGTGCCTCTCTTTTGCTAGGTTCCGTTGTCCATCTTTTATAAAATTGTGCGTCATTCTTCCAGGTGCAGTGAATTTCAAGGCCCTTTAATGGGAGAGGGCGGAAGGGTTGTGCGTTGTCATCCTGGTGACAGGATTAGTGGGTGGAAGAGAGGGGCCTGGAAGTGGGGAGAGTGGCCATGTCACCCTTCTGCAGAGTAGAGTTTTAGTGAATCCCACGCTGCACAGAGAACAAAAAGGATTCTTTCTTCCCAAGTAACTATTAGCAAAAATGCTCTAAATCAGTGGTTCTCAACCTTCCTAATGCCTCAACCCTTTAATACAGTTCCTCATGAGGTGGTAACCCCCAACCATAAAATTATTTTCGTTGCTACTTCATAACTGTAATTTTGTTCCTGTTATGAATCGTAATGTAAATATCTGTTTTCCGATGGTCTTAGGTGACCCTGCTAGCGGTTCTCAACTTGTGGGTTGTGACCCCTTTGGGGGTCGAACAACCCTTTCACAGAGGTCGCCTAAGAGGTAGCAACAAAAATAATTTTATGGTTGGGGTTCACCACAACATGAGGAACTGTATTAAAGGGTCGCAGCATTAGGAAGTTGATAACCACTGCTCTAAATCATCGCTGGACCTGCTGGTTCTCAGTTAAGGACAATGCTCTCGTTAGTGGGTATTTGGTGGGTTCTGGGTCCCCTGCGATGTGTTTGCTATGCCTTGCTCTGTTCCTTCCCCCTCTATCAGATAGATTCTTACCCCTCCATTCCAGATGAGGAAAGTAAGCTGCATGGAGGCTCAGCATCTTGCCTGAGGTCTCGTGTTCAGTAGGTAGGGCACAGATTTGAACCCAGGCCCATGGCCCCAGAGCCCAAGTGCTTAGTGCCTTAGTGCCTGAGGCTCTAGGAGTAGAGGCTGCAGAGCTGAGACTCGTGCCGGAGGGTCTTTAGGAAGCCAGCTTCTGGGGCCATTTTCTTGTCAGAAGCAGAAATGGGTCTTGAAACTTTACTCTGGGCCTTTCATAAAGGAAACAGATTATCCTTCTGGGTAGCTCAGCCTTTCTCGGTCATGGGGTCTCTTGGTTGATGGGGAGTCCAGCAAGAAACACTTTCCACGTGAGCTTCTGTTGGAAAGCTCACTAACATGCATTTTGCAATTCTTCCCAAGGTCAATGCCACAGTCCGGGTTTACTCCCTGATCGTGAGACGAGTGGTATCTGCTGATCACAAACCCTCAGCGTTAAGCTCCTGCCAGTGATGCTAACATTTCACTTTCATTGAGCCCTGCGTCAAGCCCTGGGCTAAATACTTTAATCCTAACGACAAGCCTTTAGAGCAGGGTTGTTATTCTTATTCTTGCAGAAGAATAAACTGAAGCTCTCAAAGTCTAAACAACTGGCCCGGTGACACATGGCTGTAAAACCGATAGTTTTTCATTTTCAGAGTAAGAATCTGTTTGACTTTGATGGAGGAGATTAACTCCAGAACTGCGAAATCATGGACAGAACCTGAAAGTCATTGACTTTCTCACAACTAAATCCACTGGGGATAGCTAACCACAAAGTAGGTCACATGTGGTAAAGGATGAGCTTCAGATGGGGCAAAGCTACTTTCAAAACCCTACTCAGCCATGACCTTGGGGAATGATTTAACCTCACTGAGCTCAGTTTTCTCTTGCAAAGTTGCACCGATCACACCTACCTGCAAGGTCGCTGTGAGGATGAAGGGCAGGCTCTCTGCCACCTGGGAGCATAGGACATGCTCAGCGGAGGCTAGCTGCAGTTCTGGTTAATGTCCTCTTTCTACTGTAAAAAGTGGGAAATACTCTTTACAATACATTCTCAAGAGGCCATGAAATTGGGGCACCTAACTGTTTTAAGTCCTGGTTCTGTCAGTATATCAATAGCCAAGTCCATGAGTTTAGCCTCTGTTAACTCCTGGGCCTCAGTAGTATCCATCTATATCAAGAGGGTTGAACTGAATGACCTCTGAAGTCCTGTTTAATAAGGAATCAGGAGGTTAGTTCTGAGAAATTGAGGCCTTGCTTTCCTCCAGCTGATTTCTGGAGAAAGATGATTGAATGAGTGTCTTCTTCCCTTGCCTTGTCGCCACTCTCCTCCACCCTCCTGGCCTCCCTTGAAGAAGAATGGCAAAGGGGACCCCCAGCCTGTGGTCCCTCCTTTCCCAAGCGCGTTGTTCATGGCACTTTTGTCTCTCCCCTCTTCCCCCTCGTCCCTTCCAGCATCCTGGTAAACATGGACGACAACATTATTGAGCACTACTCCAATGAGGACACCTTCATCCTCAACATGGAGAGCATGGTGGAAGGTTTCAAGATTACACTCATGGAGATCTGAGCCTGGCCGGCATGCCCTCGCAGGAGCCGTCGGAGCACTCCTCCCTGGGGAAGGAGGCGGCCCAGCCCCGGAACCCGCAGACCCACCTCACCTGTCTCACAACTGCTGTTACACGACCGTGCTGGGGGCGTGGCAAGGTGTGCAGCCCCACTCACTCCTCGTCAGTGCGTCCGGCCCATCCGCCAGCTCCTGCTCTGGAGCTGAGGCCCGAGCCCCTCGGGAAGGGACCTTGCGCCTGTCAGACTTTTATTTATTGACCACCTTTTCCTGGAGCCCAGGACCAGGCCCGCCGGGACTCTGCAGGTCACTGCTGGCTCCAGATGACGCCATCAAGAGCCTTCAAGGGCCACCCCCGCCAACCTATTCATCTCGAAGAGCCTGAGCAGGTCTGGTCCCACCTGTCTCACCTCTCCACTTCTCCCGAGTGGCTGGACCAAAGGAGCTGCTTCTGGGTGCAGTGGTCAGAGGTGGGGTAAGAGGTGGGGGGTCCCCTGGCTGGTCAACCCTTCAGGTTGATCGCGGGAGGTCATCTTGCTAGATACCTCCAGGGGTCCCCAGCACGTGGCCATCGGGCCTTGTGCAGGAAGACGTTCAGCTGCCATGTACTTAGTAGGTGACACGGAAGGCATGCCGGCTATCATGTACATAGTGTTTATAATATTGCAATAATATATTTTGCCTGTGGTATGTGGGCATGTTTACTGCCACTGGCCTAGGGGAGGCACTGCTTTCTACCAGAGGTTTTTGCCTCTCTGCTGTGTGGAAGCACGCTGGGCTAGGGAAGTGGCCTCCAGGCTGTAGGTGACTACGGTGGGTGCCAAGACAAGCTCCAGGGGGCACGGCCAGGAACTCGGTCCTGCCCGCAGAGGGAGCCCCGTCCTCTCCATGGGCACGCCTACTCTGGAGCCCGCCGCTACCACCACCTCCGCCTCTGTCTCCCGGTGATGTGCTTTGCTGGAGTCTCCCTCTGAGCTGCCTTGTGGGAAAGGTCAGAGAGGATGAGGCCCCAGCCCCTCCAGCTTTGGTGCCGGCCCTGCCTGAGCCTGTCCTGAGGATCCCGGCCACTGCGCAGTGCCTTGCAGTTTACGAGCATGTCCTTCATTCAAGTGGCCCCCTTACAGCCCAACTGCAATGCTGAGAGCGGTGCCAGCAGCTCAAGTCTGAACAGACAGGCCAGGGCGGCCTCCTGGGCCTCAGTGCTAGAGGGGGAGGGACCAGTGGCTTCTGCTCCTGGCTGCTGGGTTGGGAGGGAGGAAGGCAGGGAAGGAGAGACAGTGCCCCAAGAGCCCTGGCTCCTCTGAAACCAGCCTGAAGAGGAGAATTCCAGACCCTGCTACAGGTCCTAAGAGATGAGAAAACACACTTCCCTAAGCAATCGCAACAGCTTGAACCATCCTGGGCCACTTTTCCCTTTGAGGGAGCAGGTAGGTGGTCCAGGGGTTTGCATTCACCCTCATGGGTGAAAGAACCAACTTTTCAGTAGCCAGACACAACCCCCACCCAAGGTACGAGATCCAGGGCAGGTTTTCTGTGAGGGCCCAGATCTGTTGGTAAAGCACTTTTGATGTCTTCTCCATGGGCTTTTTCTCCGAGGGCTCCCTGCTCTCCCAGCCATCTGCCCCTGGGGTCTCTAGCAGGATGGATGGGCTGCCTCCAGCCCAGCTGTTTCTAACACTGCAGAGGATTTGAATGGAATGGGGGGCAGGTGCCATGCTTAGGAAGACCTCTGGATGGTGGAAAGGGGTTACCTGGCTGTGTGCCTTCTGGACAACTCATCGCCCACCCTTCCCGTGGTGCCAAAGGATTGCATCCTGGGTACAGCTCTGCTCCTGTCATCCCCTCCTTCTCCACTCTGACTGTCATGTCCTGGTCTAGCTGCTGGGGGAGGGGGGAGGCCCTCCTGGGTCCCGATGGGCTCTGTTGTAAGGTGGACACACTCAGTGTTGGAAATATCTGCTATACTATGCACTTCCCATGCTCCTTGCCTTAGCGGTGGTTTCAAACATGATTGGTGGACACAATGGCAAATACTACTGGACTAGGGAATAGGACACCAGGCTAGGGAAAAGATTTTAAAATATTGGCAATTTGACATAGGCCACCTACCCTTCTCTCTAGACCAGCGGTTCTCAACCTGTGGCTTTGGGGGTCGAACGACCCTTTCACAGGGGTCACATAAGACCATCGGAAAACACAGATATTTACATTACAATTCATAACGGTAGCAAAATTACAGTTATGAGTAGTAACAAAATAATTTTATGGTTGGGGATCACCACAACCCGAGGAACTGTATTAAAGGGTCGCGGCATTAGGAAGGTTGAGAACCACTGCTCTAGACTCTGTAGAGAAAACGTTTGCTGGTTCTGCCCTAGGCAGAGAATGAATCAGAAATGTTTTTGCCTTTGTCCCCAGTCCCTGAGCAATCATTGGGGTGACCACTGTGCCAGAACAGAGACCATGCGGTCTGTGCCACCAAAGGGTGGTGCAGAGTGCCATCTCATCCGATCTGTCCCTCACGTTTACCAGGTCCCCTCTGCGTTCTCAGAGTGCTCATGGCTTAGCTATGATTTGTTCTTCACTATGGAAAGTAGCAGAGCTCTGTCGAGGAAAATTTCCTGAGCAAAAACACTCCAGAAAAATAGGAAATTTTGCCTCCTTTTGTTGTCCCCTAAGTCAATCACACTCAAATAAATAAGCTTTAAAAAAAAATGCATTTACAATGAGGGACATGTGAAACAAGTGTTTTAAGTACAGATCCAAATTGTTTAGACTTTACGGGTGTTTGGAAATTGGGATCAACAGAAAAATGCAATCAGATGTCATCTGGGAATTGGACCCTAAGAGCCCAAGGCCCGTCCCATGCCCCAAACATAGGAAACATGGCATGAAGCCAACATTTATTTTCCTTCTTATTTAAAATCATGAAATGCAACGAAAACGGAGGGTTTGTGCCAAATTCTATGAACAGCCCTTTCTTAAAGACAAGCAAGGGAGATTGCTAGATGGACAATTTGCTCTTGTGTTTTAAAAAAAAAGGCAAATGTAACTTAATAGTTTTGTAAATGGGAGAGGGGGAATCTATATAAATACAGTTATTTTATTTTTTGTACATTTTTAAGAAGAAAAAATAAATATTCATAAAGTAAGAGTAAATAATGGTGTCAGCTACTTTTTGTGAGGTTGGTGGTGGGGTTCTTTGGTCGGAAAGAAACCTCTGTGTGAGCTGGGAAGATGCTAGGTTTCCCTTGGCCCCTTCCAGTGCTGGGCTTCACCACTGTGGGAATTTCCCCTGGTCAAGTGAGAAGAGGGCTGAATAAAGCCAGAGTGACAGAGACAAGCTACCAGGGTAGTTATTGTTGACCAGTTCCTCAGGGCAGAGCCCATGCACTTTGACCTTCCTCTATCCCAGCTCACCCCCTCTTGAATGAGCCCAGAGCTTATTCCTTAGTTCATCTGCACAGAAAGGCCAAAACCATGTGCTGAAACGTCAATTTCATCACGACAACCTTTTGTCCTGGAACCCAAAGGCTTGCTAGTATCTGTCAGCTCAAATGTAAACCCCTCTATCCACTATCCCGGTATTTATTGGTGTTTCATCAAAGAACATCCACCCGCTGAACTGCCCACAATTCCTGATTCTCTCCCAAAAGCCTCTCTGTGCCAAACAAATGGCACTTCTGTGCTTCCACATCCTACCTTCTCCCTCTGTCCTTGTCCACAGCTTCCAAATCTTTGCTGAAAACTTACCTTCAGAAAGCCTCCTTCTGACTTAATCCCAGTGGCATCCGCAGCATCCTCCATATCTGGACCAGTGGGCAGGGCAAGGAGGCTCAGAAAAGTGCTTCTTGAGGTTTCTGGAAAGAACATGGAATTAGAAATGAGCCACAATGCCTTGTTGCCATGATCCATGTTACATGGTCTAAGTAGGGGGTCTGAATCCATTCCCCACAGGCCCAAGTAAGTCCCACTGAGGATGCAGCTGGTCTCCGCACCTCCCCCTCCCTTGGCCCATGGCAGTCATTCTCCTGTTGTTCAGTCAACTTTGCAGGCAAGTTCTCCCACTAGGCAAGGATGACCAGTTGTCAAGGCCACAGTGCCCAGTTCCACCTCTTGCCTTGCACTCTGCCAATTCAGTTACTGTGGACCAAGTGCTGTGCCCCATTCTGGGGACACAGAGGCTGATGTGCAAAGTGATAATGGCTCTGTCACCCCCTCAGTTCTAAGGCATACAAATCCCTCTTATTCTTAGCCTTCCAAAATGGGAGGATTATAAGAATAAAACCAAGTCCGAACGCAGGATGGCAGTGTAGGTAAACACCTAAACTGCTGCCTTGCACAATTTCAAAACTACAACTAAAAGACAAAATGTCTATCACCCAGAGCCATGGGAGGGCTGGCTGAGTGGAAGTTCTGCAACTAGAAGGAAGGAGAATCCAATGCACAAACGCCGAGGTACGAGGGCGTGAGTACAATCCTGGCTGGTGGCAGGCGTTGCTTGCTTCAACCCGAAGGGAGACAAGCTCCCGATTTCTCTGAAATCCAGTTTCTGGGGAGACACACAGGACCCAAACTCCTTCGGGGAGAAGCTGAACTGTGCCATCGGGTCGGAAAGTGAGGGTGGCTTGCTTGCAGAGCTGTGCGCAGAAATAATTGTTTGCTGTGCAGGGATGCGAAACATGGGGAGGTGCAGGGACGCTGGCAGCCAGCCATCACTGTTTGCCACACCCTAACCTAGTGACGCCCTGAGAGGCCTGCCCCACACAACCTACAAACCCACCCAAGCTCCAAGCAGTAGCTTTTGCATATGAATGGCCTTCTCTATAGCAGCTTAACCTAGCAAACTTGCAACCCGCTTTAGACAGCTCCAAAGCCTCCAAATCCTAAGCAAAGAGGAGAAAACTGTAGTTCTCACTGTAGCTCCTGCAGGGTGGCCTCACACAGTAGCTGACCTGCACCCCATTGGAGATCCAGAAGCCAGTGTACCTAGTGGTAAGTGT